TGCATAAACAATCTTTTAGTGAAAATGACCGTATTGTTTAAAAGACAATTATAGTGCTCAAGATAAACTTTTATAAAAGATGAGAGGACTGTGTGTTCAGTGGTGGTAGACTGATAGACAATAGGAAATGGTTATTTCCCACACACTCACACATCACAAATATATAGACACAAAACCACTTTATGTTTTCCACTGTTTCTGTTCTTTACCACTGTTTGTTTGTAATAATAATATTATTAATCATGTTTTGTTGTGTTAACGTCCCATGTTATGTTTTATCAGGTTATATTTATGTTTTCAATGTTTGTTTTTATTCTAGATAAAAAAAAGGTTCTGTTTATGTAAATTAGTTAAGTTGTCATACATTCATTCATTATCTTATCGAAATAATGTTCTGTTGATTCATCCCCATACCATCATTTCTGAGGGGATATTGAGATAAAACATATGAATGTACTCATATGTGAATTGTAGCTAAATTACTTTTAATATTTATTAATTACTGTATTTTCAAAAAGAATATTTAAATTTAATGAAATATAAATTAGTGAAGAAGAAAAACTATATTCAAAAATACCATTCTAAAATTAAATAGTGTCTAGGTAGGAAATATTTCTTTTGTACTGTCCAGTGTCCAGGTGTGAAGTAATTGTTGGAAGGAAAGCAAAAGAAAAGGAAGAAAATGTGCTTGTGGTGGAAGATATAGAGAGAGATGGATGTGGGAGCCAAGTCTCCAGTGATTTTAATATCCAAAAGTGAAAATTAACATTCAGAATACATATAAATATTGAATATAAAGAGACCTAAAGAAAGAAGAAAATCACTATTCAACAAAATTGGTAATATCAACCTCAATTAACACTTAAAAAACTCATCATCAATTTCCAACCACCACATTGTGAATTGACTAAATCCAAGTGACTTTCAAATTAAGAACTTGTAGCCTAAATTTTTTTATTCTCATTATTAGCTTATCTCATATTTAGCCTATATTAGTACTGTATAAATTAAATTAATCAGCCTATCAGAATTTCATACCCGGCACGAACCAACCCCTAGATTAAGATAATTTTCTCTCCAAATTGTTATCTAGCCTAGCCCATCATAAACCTAGACCAAAATATATTTCACTGTCATAGCCTAGCTCAATGAGATTGTTAATAGCTATAGAACCTAAATATATTTTATTGTAACTTTATTTTAATTTTATTATCTAATTTAAGTAAATTCATATTTTGAAATTCATTAATAAAGAGGAGTAGGTTGCAGGGTATTGACGGAAATAAAAAAATAAAAAGTATTTTTAAGTAATTGCAGAGATTATGATTGTGTAAAGCCAAGGTAAATGTAAAATATATCTTTTAATACTTAGAAAAAGATTGTTGTCAATTAAAAAAAAAAATTAACATGACACTCTTTTATCTAATTTCCAAGGGAAGTATCTATTACCGTAGGTAGCACTTAGTTCCGGGACCGATATACTTTTCCATTTTGATGTCCCTAGAGGCCAAAAACACTATTACCGTGCTGGGTATTCAGTATTTTGACCGTGACCGTGGTAAGTCAATAACAATATCTACAAGACTGCAGGTGACGATAATGATGTTTACTTGACCATGGTGGATGATCGGAATTTTGCCGCGATTGCGAAAGATGGTGATAATGTCTACATGACCACGGTAGATATTTAATATTTTACCGTGATCGCAGAAGGCGTTTTGTTACGTTTCCTTGACCGCTGAGCGATATTCAGGATTTTGCTGTATCCGCAGAAGACAGAGGTGATGCTTCCGTGATTGAGGATGATATTCAGGTTTTCATAGTCATCAAATAAGACGGCGATGATGTCTCCAAGACCGTGGGAGATGATCACAAATTTACGATATTACCTCGAGTTTGCCTTGATTGAAAATTTCAATCTGGCACACCTCTAGTTATAATAACATTTTCTTTTTGATTTCTTTTTGTAAAAGACTTATTTAATAAAGATCTTTATTTACCTTCAATATTTATTTCATGTGCTTAAATAAACATGTGCTTAACCTATAAACATAGGTAAACTAGCAGTTTCTTGGGATTAAGACTATTTCTCCTTTAAACTTACCACTGATAATTTTTGCTTCAATCAATTTTGGTGTCATTTTTCAAATCATCAGTCTGGTAACGTTGCACAGCTTCGGTGGATTTAAGTTTCGTATTAGTATTACTGGAGTTCCTTCTTTTAATGACTGTAATGTGGTGGGTTAATGCAAAATTGAGAGGCATTTTAATACCTGAGATAGCACGCACGATTATTATTCACTTAATAATTTATGTTAGACTGTCATTTAACATTGGAGAATCTAAACGTTGTTGAGTGCACAGGTGTGCTGCGATTGGGATTTAATATATTTGGACTTATTCAAAAGTAAAATAGTTTTCTATGCTGCACTCTGTGGTAACAATGTGGCACTATTTCAAATCATGACTAATGTAGCATGTTGTTATTATTCAAACCTACAAAACAGTTGCCGGGTAACAGCTAGTTATATTTATTTGTAAACATTGTAGTTCAAAAAGTCTGACTTTGGCCCACTTAAAACCCTCTGGGGCGGAACCCTTTTGATGGATCTGCACCAAACTTTACACAAACCATCCTTTAATAATGCTTACTAAAGCCTAAAAGTTTCATTACAATCTGTTGAGCGGTTTCGAAGTCCATAAGGTATATACATAGTTTCTCTTTTATACATATAGATTGTCAGTTTGTCATCATCGTTCGTAGCCATACATAGCGCGAGCACATCTGATCTGATTTGTTATCGTGCGGAAAATTTATAACATCGTAAAGTGTGTTACGATTTTGAGAACTGATTATCTTATCGCTGGAGTAAACAAACAACTAACTTGTAGGGAGGGCAGGGAAGGGAGGTTAACAATTCCCAAGGTCAAGATAGTTTTTGTGCCTCGAGCCAATCAATACACAAACTATAAAGAAGAACAGGTCCTATGGATAATATTCAAACAGTATTTTCAAATTTGGCACGCAAAATACTACACTGAACCAAGTGGTCAAGTTTAGCACGCGGTGAAGTGCGAGAGAGAGCGACATACACTGTTTTCGTCCTCTCTCTCTTTCTCTCGTGGCCTGTCCCATAGGGGACGAAAACAGTGTATGTCGCTCTCTCTCACACTTCACCGCGTGCTAAACTTGACGCCAGCGCTGAATCGTGGTTCAGTGCAGAACTACAGATATTTCGCGCGCCAAATTTGAAAATACTGTTAGAATACTGTCCATAGGATCTGTTCTTCTTTATAGTTTGTTTATTCATTGTTCGAGCCTCCAGTGAGAGGCTATAAAAATAAATAAACATCCTGCCTTGTAACAAAATGGTTGCTTGTATCTTTAATTTCGACAAAAGGTTCTGTACTGTATTACGATGTATTTGGAAAGCATCAATTAATACATTACAGTAATAAATTTATTAAAATAGGAATTTTTATTGACTCTTGCCTAGTATTATAATATATTCCACTGAAAGTAGGCCTATTTGACTTGTTTTGTGTTTATTTGTGACTTTTCTTAAGTACGAAAAACGAGATAAGAGTAGTTTATTTTACCAAGTATGACTTCAAAATAATGATATAATTTAGGGATGGTCAAGTCTCGAAATTTCGGGAAATTTTAAATCTCGTTACACGAGACGAGATTTCTTTTGGCCGAGATTTTTATCGAGACGAGAATTAAAAAAAAAAAAAAAAAAAAAATTAAAAACGCCTGCAGAAAGTCAATGCAATACCCGCAATACAGGAGCGTGTTGTAGTTGCGTTTCCTTTGCGAAGGCGTTATTATTTAATTAATTCTATAAATGTAAATATTACTTTAATTATTTTAATAATATTACTTTAATTAAATTTGAGAAGTTTAAGTGTAAGCAGTGTGAGGAATGTTTTATTACTATAAAAAGTCAAAACAAGTAGGTAACTATTTTATAAAAATTAATATTGCTTTTATTTTATGATTTATTTTATTTTAGGATAAGTTGAACTCTAACCTAACTGATATCACTATGTTTCCTAATCGTAGGCATTTTTAATAAGTTAGGCGTGATTAATAAAAAAATGTTATGCTGATGTTTTTTAATAAAAGATTGTAAATATTCTTGCCTATTATCATTATTTTTGTATTTAAACAGTCATCTAACAATGTTACAAAATCAGGTAAAAATTTTGAACGTGCATTTCCCGTTGTGTATGAGAAGGGAAATCCCGTCTCGATCTCGTCTCGAAATTTTATGAGAAATAAAAAATCTCGTCTCGTCTCGTCTCGAACTAAAAATTCAATCTCGTCCATCCCTAAATTATATAATTCCAAATGAATAGCACTTCATTATGTTATGATTTTAGGGATTCCCCGTTATAACCGACCATAGGTCCCATTAGGGTCGGTTAAGAGGGGGTCTACAGTACTAGATATTTACATTATAACCACTTCTGTGTTTGAAAAACTATTTTATTTTTGGATGATAATTAACTCTTCAGCAGCTGTTTGAAATCATCCAAGATGGCCGCCAGCCTACAAGGACTCTCAAGTAAGAATTGTTTCTCACTATTAAAAAAAAAATAATAATTGTAATTTGTAAACATACTGACGACAATGGTGGTACCCTACCATGCAGGCTACATTATCAATGACGAAGATAAACATGGACAACCTTTTGCGGTTATGAGTAACTCGGGTAACATTTTTAGAAAACAGAAAACACTAAAAAACAAGATCTGCTTTTGAAAAATGATAAAATATTTACCAGAAATGATGATTATATCAAACTGGTAAGGACATTGTGAGTATTCCATTATATTGTGAGTATTAGTTACATAGTCTTTGAGTTGACTCATCGGATATTATGACTGTTATTCGTTTTTAAATAGCTCCTGTAATACTTTGCAATTGTTCAAATTCAAGCAACATGTACACTAGTAAAATAAATAATAAAAGGGGTTTGAGAAATACCAAAATGTTGTAAGCAATAACACTTTACTTTTTTAATACAAACTATAATACAAAAAATGTACACTCAATAAAGCTAGGCACAGAAATAAAGTAAACAAAGCCGAGAGCAAAACTTAACAGATTTTTCTTTTATACAAACAATACAAAAATGAAAAATTAGAAAATAATAAAATGAGCATTTGAAAGAATAAAAGCTAACAATTGTCTCAAAAGCAGAATCATCTTTATTATCTGTGCACCCATTCTCTCGGAATGTTGAGTACCTACTTATATAAATGGCGACTAGATTAACACGGCTTCAGCCATTAATTTACAAAGAGATTCATCAGTAACTTATCAGAATCACAGTATATTAAAATCAAGTAGCAACAGTTAGTCAAAATAAAAAACCTCAATGACTTAAATAATTTTAAAAAATTACACATCAGATAAGTGAGTCAGCAGTGAATAAAATTTCAATTGATGAATTTCACCATTAAAGCAAAATGTTCATTACGACATATATAGAAAAATAAAGTATTTTTATGAACGGTTCATATAATTATGATTGTTAAAAATATTTTTGAAACTGTCTACTTTTTACACTAGATCACAAAGAGCTTGATGGAACTTTACATCGTATTGTAGACAGGGTTGTTGTGCCGTTGTTTGTTTAATGCTAACCTGGCTAGAGGATGCGTTTTTCCTTGTTGCTGCTTTTTGCTGGCAGCTTTGGCATTAACAGTTGCTACCACAACATTGGGGGAAGGAATTGAAGTCTTTATAGGTTGTCTCGCTTTTTTAAGATTATGCACAAAGAGAGTCGAATGTTTTATCACTAACGGTGGAGGATCTAGACTAGATTTTCTCGGAGGTACGGGCGGTTGGGGAAAAGTTGGTCTGTCTTCATACTTTCCTACGAGTTTACGAACGGACAAATCTTCCAAGGAAGTAGCAGGACTAGGTTTTTCTGTCCTATCACTGACAGGAGAGGAAGGAAGACTCCTGACTTTCCCACTTTCTTCAGTTTTAGGTTCAGCACTACCTTCTTCTGCATTCACACATTTAGCACTGCCAGAAACCGATTTGGCTTCAAATTCTTTTTTCAGATTCTGCACTAAACCCGGAACACTTTTTTGACCACTTTCGGTAAAAGTCTCGCTCTTAGTTTCGTCAACCGAAACACACCTCCTGGTAACATGAACAGAATTTTCTGAGTTTTTAATTTCCACTACATTAGTCTCTTTGGCAGAACTGTCTAGCGGAACAGTTATATCCGGACACACCCTTTTCACATCTATTATCCCCTCCTCCAGTTTCTGCTTGGTGCGCTTGACTGTGCCCCAGTTCTCTGTAGGTCTCATGTCGTACGAGCCCCAAGAACTGTTCCTGGAGGGCAGCGTACAACACCGAGTGTCCCCTGAGCCCCATGAGCTCTGTCGACTCACACAGTCCCGGGGGTCGCCCAACACCACTGCACTATCATAGGAACTCCAGCTGCTCTGTCGCGAGACCTCACACTCCCTTGTCACTTCTGCGTCCTCTGTCACCACACTTGGCACACTGCGACGCTCCTTGCGCTCCTCTCGCTCAAACACTCGGTCCAGGCGGTTAGAGAAGGGATCTCCATCTGGCCTCTTCCTCACCGTCTCTCCAGGATCCCAGGTTTCTTTTTTTGTCTGTAACATTTTACATTACTTAGACTTTACAATTACCAAGCTATACCAAACACCTTTTTCTTTTATCTTAAACAATTCCGCTTTAAATATCTTAATTGTAAAATACACAGTATTTTCTTTTAGTCAGGATTAGGCTTTAAGATGAGAAATCTAATAACCTAAGTATTAAATAGAGTTTTTAACATTTACTCTAGATATTTGTTAAAAAATGATCAGAACGTGCCTGCTAATCATTCCTTGTCAACATATTACAGTGAAACCTCACAAACTCGATACCTAATTTGTGGACCCACAGGTTGTCGAGTTTTGGTGTTGTCAAGTTATCCAGAACAATGAAATGTTTAATAAGATTTAATAAATAAATAATATAACAGTATTTACAAATGTAATATATAAAACAAGTTAACAATAAAATATACAACAGACAAATTTTTACATAAAAATGTATTGCGTACATGAGTAATTTTACATATTCAGTAAAGAATCTTCAAAGAAATGTCAAAAATTTAACAATCAAAACCTAAAAAGTTGAACAAAAGTAAGGCAAAGCTAGTTATACGTGCACCTTGTCAGCTGTAGATTGTCAATTGTTACAAAGAGTTACAAGGACTGTCGAGTTACTGGCTGCCAAGTTAGTGAGGTTATGTATATACATAATTATGAAAATGTTTTGATGTTTATTACATTTGCTGTTTTTTATATGGCAAACTAACTCATTTTCACATAGAACTGTTATTTAGTGTGTTTTTACACAGTGTTTACCTGTGACAGTGGTGGAGGGGGTGAAGACGTGGTCTTGTCCTCCTCAAACTGTGTGGTGAGGTTGAGTACGAGACCTCGTCGGTCGAGGCCAGGCCTTCGTCCCATCTGAGGAGTAGAGTTGCCGTTCTGAGACTCCAGAGCATTCACTCTGTGCTTCACTGTCGTCACTGTGGCTGACTCAGGGCTAACAAAAAAAGTTACATGTTAATAATTATTATGTATAAATATTCTGCTTTTAAGGTATTAGTTTTTTACAATTTATATGTTTTTAACACACACCATTTAAGTTTGCATGGACAGACATTCACATCATCAATAATTTACTGAATGTGTGTTCTGCTAATGTTGCTATATAGGCCTACTATACTAGCAGATTACCCGTCCTTCATGTGGGGTTGGCATATAAGTATAAAATGCTTATTGCAGTTATGGAAGAGGACACAGTTTAAGGAAATTTGGTTTTAGCGAATTTCCCTATAGGGAAGTTGCTATTACCGTAGGTGGCACGGTAAGACCTAGGCCCGGGACCGATTTACTTTTTCATTTTGATGTCCCCAGAGGCCAAAAACACTATTCGTTCAAATTTTTATATATGTATATATATACACAACGTATATATATATATATATACGTCCGTGAACGCGATAACTTGAGTAATTTTTGTCCGATTTTGATGAAATTTGGTTTGAAGGTGTAAGGCGGTATAAACTTGAATGAGTTCGCGAACCAGCATGATCGGACCATGGGAACAGTGTTTTACGGGGACTTTTATGGGGTAAAAAATGGTTTTTCTCATTTTTGACCCTCAAAACACAAAATTTCTCAATTTCTCTCTAGACCTTGTTAAAGAGCTTAAAAAAGCAAATAATTTAGTATATCAAAGTGTTTTGGTAACGGAGAAAATTCCAAAAATTGTAAATTTAAAATTCCCATGTTATTCTTATGGAGAATATTTTAAAATGATGTAGTTTGCTTGTTTATTGATAAATTTGGATTAAACTTGGCCAATTTATTTCTTTTATACTAAGCTATTAATATTTTACTAAAAAAACTCGCTTAATTAGTTTTCTTGTAGCAGCAAACCTAGGTACTTGTTAAACCTACAAGTCTAAAGTTTACTCGTGGCTGTTAGAAAATCCGTTTTACACTCTTCAAGAATTCTTGGGTTCGACTGTCCTAATCTAGCCTTAGATTAAGCCTTTTTTACTCTGTTACTTTGTATTATCGACCAATGTAAATATTTAGCCTAATTTGACAATGCCTATCTCAATGTATTTGATCAACGGCAATAAAGATTCTGATTCTGATTCTGATTCTGAACCTAATGTTATTTAAATAGATTTAAATTGAAAATCAGTTCAGACAAATGGAAATTCGCTTAGTCGGCAGGTATGCTGCGGCGGGGGTATTTTTAATTTATACGGTATGCTATAGTAGCTTATAGCCCACAACCATAGCCATAATTTTCTACCACTGCACCTAAACCATAGAAAAAGAGTTAAGTTATCATTGTGTACCACAGCTTTTTGTTGCTAGTTGGTTCAAATTATAGTCTGTCTGAATTTAATGTGCGGTTGAAGGACAAATTTGTTTTCCCCTGCTTTCTCCCTGACCCTGCCACCACCACATATTAGCCTACAGCTGGTGCTTACTGTTCATAATTTTACAACAGGTATCACTATGTTTACATTTAGTGGCTTAAATAACATTGCGACTATTCTGATGGTATTTTGTGCAATTTAATATTATTCAGTCTGAGTTTACTTGATTAGTGTTAATTAGAAATGGCCAAAAGGTGCCAAGATATTACAATCCAAACTAAAAACAAATTAAAATAAATCTTCTAGTTTTATTCTGTGGTAGTTCAATCATAATAAACAAAGGCTTACTAAAAACACTGTCTGCAATATTAAACAGATGATTGTTAGGGGGATTTCAGTGTAGAAAATGGTAAATGAGTGGGAGATTTCCAGTGGTAGGGAAATCATATATGGAATTCCAACCGCACAATTATTTTAGACAGACTATAGTTGTTGTCATAAATGCAAAACATAATAGCGCTGCACCCTGTTTTAATGTTATTTAATATCATAGAACCTGCAGTTGAAACAGCTGACAAAATTCTTTAAATCCTTCTAAATATGAATACTCATAAGGTTAATGTGGGAAACTCCAGAGCCACTGGGGCGGAGCTCGAAAGGATTTTTGAGATAAGAATGTCTATAAGTTAATCGGGAATGTAAGCTATCATCATACCAAATTTCAACCCTCTTTGTTTAGTATTTTTCGCGTTTACTTGTCATACAACTCTTGAAAAGTTTTTTTCTGAAACTAAAATTTGGATTATCACAGAGTAAGATTAGGCTATTGTCTTTTCATTTACAAAGTTAACATCCACAATATCAATCATTAGTTTAACTCAGGCTCAATCCAATTTTCTTAGTACATTTTAAAGCTCTTCCAAAGAATCAAAAGACAAAGGCCTAGACCTAATTATTTAGGAGGGCCTATATATAAATTGATTAGGTTACAATGAGGGTAGCAAAATCGTTATCTAGTTCATAAGATTTAGATTGCACAATTTACCTTCAACACAACACAAAAATACAGGAAACTAAAAAACATTTAAGCCTTTAACAGCCACATCCAACAATATAAGACAAGATACAGAACATGTAATGACATAATTTGAGACCGAGTAGGCTTGAATAACAAAAACAAAAATTATGCAAACAACAACTATGCATGTGATTGTCAATAGAAAGATAAAATATCTATAACAAATATTTTAACTTATAAAATAAGATTGTAGATCAGTTACAAGTTTAATATGTAGCCATAAACAGTTTTATGGCAGTAGGCAATGGCCAGCGGCAAATTGAATATTCACGAAAATACTGACTGAGTTAGAGATAACATTTAACAGTCATCATAAAACTATTATTTTTATGATAAAATAGAATTGGGGAAAGTCGTAAAGAAATGAAAGTGATAAAACAACAGTTCTTTGAAGTACTTTAAAACAACAATTTGTCGTGATAAAATGTTAATGGATTTGGGACTGCTAATGGGGTTTTTTGCATCATCACCCTAGTAATAAATTATGAAGATCATAAACAAACATCTGATAAGACTTTTATGTGCTTGGGGGTTGACTTTCAGTGCACCGCAGACCCCCTACAAAAGTGTGATGTTTATTGTGAAGCGTTATTGTGCGCCTAATGGTTACGGAGAAAATTCCAAAAAAATGTAAATTTAAAATTCCCATGTTATTCTTATGGACAATAAGTAAACTGTTGTAGTTTGCTGTTTATCACATATTTTGATCAAATTTGGAAAATGTTTTTATTTCTTACTAACTATTAGCATTTTACAAAAAAAAAAAAAAAAAACAGTTTTACCCTCCGTGATGCAGCAAACCTAGTTCTTGTTAAACTAATTCTATTTAAATCGGGAATAAATGTTATATTTTTAAGTAGACATTTCAGTGTAAATCCAATCAGTCAAATGGAAATTCGCTTAGTCTGCAGGTTTGCTGCGGCGGGGGTATTTTTTATTCTCGTGTTATTCTTATGGAGAATATTGTAAAATATTTTAGTTTGCTTTCTGATGGATATATATTGATCAAAATTGGAAAATCTATTTATTTTATACTAAGTAATTAATATTTTACTAGAAACCACACTTTTTACCCTCCCTGTAGCAGCAAGCCTAGGTACTCATAAAACCTAATGTTAATTAAATACATTTAATTGAAAATCAATTCAGTTAAATAGCAATTCGCTTAGTTGGCAGGTTTGCTGCAGCAATTGTATTATTGTTTATGTTTTATATTGTACTTTTTGCTAAATTTACCTGTAGTAAAGTAATTGTAACCAGAATTATCGAGGTGGGTCTAGGAAGGTCCTTGACCATTGTAATCTCTCATACTAACAGAGATCGTCATTAATGTTATGGTCTTTTTTATTATTTGCTCTTGTCTCCCTAACTACTGCTTGTGAACAGTATGTGATCACATGTTCCATCGCAACTGGCACTATTGGAGTGGTGGTGTATTGCTCGTCGGAGGCCTACTGTCGGAGCCCGTCGGACCAATGGGTTAATGCCTTAAAATTGTGGAAGGTGTCGTGTCGGAGAGCGTCGGACTAGTGGGTTTCCTGCTTTATCAGTAAAAGTAGTTAGTCTTACCCGGAGCTAGAGGGTGTGAGTTGCAGTATCTTGTTCTGAGAAACACTGTAGGCCAGGCCGTTGCTGCAGGGCATCCTGACATGCAGACTGTAGTTGCGAGCCTCCACTACGGGGGGTGGGGGAGGTAGAGGTGGTGGAGCAGGTGGGAGTGACACACCCTCCTCACATTGCCTCTCTGCTGCCAGCCGCTCCATGGACAGTGATAGAGGAGCTGTTACACAATACATGTTAGTACTTGGCAGAACCGAGAGAATGACAGATATTAGGTTAAAAATAGTGAGGGTCGGATATGAATATCGGAGTATCAGATCCATCGGATCTGAGCTAGAGCCGACGCATGTTCGGATCCACAAAAAATTGGATCTTAGGTTGGATTTGGTTTTGTTTTGATGGATCCGATTAGGTTTCATAAAACAAAAAATTTTACTAAATCATTGACTAGTTATTTACCCCACCATTTGATTCTATAGGAGTGAAAACAATGATTCAATTAATGCAGGAAGAGGCTGATTATAAGGCACAAACTGTGAAATTGCTTATCTATATAAATTATTGACATCGGTATATAATATGACATCGCCTATCCATTAAAATTATTGACATGGGAATATGATCTGACATTGCCTATAGAATATAAATGATTAAAGTCGGAATATACTGTGACATTGCCTATCCATATGTTGAGGGAGGGGGAAGAACCGGAACCGAGAACCAAAATCACAGAGCCGGTGTCGGAACCAGAACCGAAAAAATATGAAACCGACCCAACCCTACAAGTTAGTCTCCACGATTAATGATTCATTCATTAGCGAATTTCCCATATAGGGATAAGCTATTACCATAGGTCTCATGGTAAGATCTGGACCCGGGACCAATTTACTTTTTCGCTTTGAGGTCCCAAGAGGCCAAAAACACCATCCGTTCAAATTCATATATATTTCTATATATATATGTTGGAGATGGGCGTTATTTAACTTAACAGGATGAATAACAGAGTTGCGGACGCATCAACGTTATTGCGGCAACAGGTTGCAGAGAACTCCTGTTATTCTATTCTCTGTATACACTAACTTGGCGTCTGAACCCTAGTCTACCTGCGGACGGACCGGGGCCGAAACCTTTCTCGCCCCCGTTGAACAGCTGTTACCATAATTAGTCACCTAGTAGCACCTCCACTGCAATTATGAACTTTTTTGTGCGGGACGGAATTTTAATTTTTTTTCTGCACAAGCAAAAAGTTCATGAAATTTTAAGAAAAATTATACTAAACTTGACCATATTCCGTTAAGTTAAGCTTACGTTTAAATGATTTTTATCTGTTTGATGGTTATAATTGTATTTAAATTTAATTTACCAAAATACCTAACAATGTTATTCATATTAAAAATATGTCGAGTGGGTGTGGGGGGGGGGGGTAAAATATTCATATTATGTATACCGTTGATATTGTTATTTATATCTTTAAACCAACCCCCATGTCTTCCGGGAAATGAGTGATTCACGTCCTAAGACCTCTGACGATTCTGACGTGGGGGTATCGTCATTAGATTAATCGCGTATTGAAATGCTATTGATGAAATATGTATAATCTGACGAAAAACTACGGTAGGCCCGTCGTAGGCCAACGCTTTATACAAAAATTTAATTAGCTTAAAAACATTTACTCAACACATACACATAATTCTGTAATTTTTTATCGACAATTGCCCTATCCTTAGAAACATGATGATTGTATGATTATTTTAAGTTTCATTTGGCCCGTACAAAATGACGCAATTTTGACTTTTCATGCCAAATGCTACTTTCGCTCGCATTTACGATTAGTTTTTTTTACCTTTTAACACATAATATTACGTATACTTAATGAAACGTACGGTTTAAAAGTGTTTCACGTTTACAATAGACTTAAATGTGATTGGTTAGATCTACTCAAAGAAACATATGAATTAAGTTGGGACAAACTACATCGCCTCAACACGTTTTACATGTTTTTACTTCTTAAACTTTATTCCCGTAACAATATTAGGAAATTTAAATATATAAATCACTATTCCTTTTTTGTGTTTGCAGATTCGCGGTGCACGTCTGATTTAATTAAAAATAATTCATACATAACGATATTACAGTTTTATTTCTATCCCTAATAAAGTTTCTATTCCTCAGTAGCTACTGTACTTATGCCTGTAGGTTCTACAAACGTAATAAGAATATGGTCAAGTTTGGTATCATTTTACTTATTTATTCATGGACTTTTTGCTCGTACAGATAAAAATGTAAAATTCCGCCCCGCACAAAAAAGTTAATAAGTGCATTTGGGGTGTGACTTGGTGACTAATTATGGAAACAGCTGTTTAAGAAGTGAGCGAGCAAGGGACGGTCCCGGCCCGGTCGCAGGTAGTCAAGGGTCCAGACGCCAAGTTAGTGTATACAGAGAATAGTAACGTATCTATCCACACCACGTTGCAGGAAAGCCGTGCGGACAACGAATTATTACGAAAAAGAAAACATGCACTATGCACTGCCGTTGCCAGAGCAACGATAACTTGGGAAACGAACTAGAATTATAATAACACATCCTGTCTGGACAACGCCCGACTCCCGACTACAACTGAAAACTGAAGAACTGAATTGATCAACTGACAACGATAACTGAACGCCGCAACACCGACCGGCGGGCAACAGTTTTTAGCGGCAACGAGTTGGCAATCGTTATTAAAATAACAGGTTGCCGCAACACGTTATTGGGCAGCTGCGTTATCGTTACAACAGTTGCCAGAAAACAACGATAATTCCCATCTCTAATATACGTGTGTCCGTTAGTACGATAACTCTAACAAAATTTATCCGATTTTGATGAAATTTGGTATAAATTTGCAAACCTACATTTATTCTAACGAGTTCGCGAACCAGCATGATCGGACCATGGGAACAGGGGTTTATGGGGTAAAAATGGGTTTTTCCCATTTTTGACCCTAAAAGCATACAATTTTGGAATTTCTTTCCCAACCATTTTGTAGAACTTAAAAAAAGAAATAATTTAGTATATTGAAGCATTGTTGTATGCCTAATAGTTACGGAGAAAATTAAAAAAAGTGCAAATTTAAAATTCCAATGTTATTCTTATGGAGAAAATGAAAACTGTTGTAGTTTAATAATTGTTCATGGATATATGTTGATCAAATTTGGCAAATTTATTTATTTCATCCTATACTACTGACGTTTGGTCAAAAAACACTGTTTACCTTCCCCATAGCAGCAAACCTAAGCACTCGTTAAATGTAATGTTATTTAAATTGGGAATAAATATGTCTTATTTGTAGAAATATTTTTGTAAATATGTAATCAGACAAGTTGAAATTCGCTTAGTATGCAGGTTTGCTGCAGCAATTCATACTCAATTCATACTGCAGCTGAGTATCATTCATACTCAGTTGGTTCAGTTGTAAGACGTTGATTTATCTGTCTTTTAACACTGAATTTTTAATAAAAATAAAAGTCTGTGACCTCCTCCTTTTAACTTACGTTAAGAAAAGCAAAACAGGTGTTATGTGTAATCCATAATAAACTCACTAATGCTGTAAACTTCCAGCCAAGTTGGACACCATTTATTGAAATCATGCCCTACCACTAACTAAGTGGGTACACACATTAGTATGCTTAATATGGATTGCGTAAATTAATCAAACCTGTGCATGAAATCAATCTCAGAGAAACACTCGTCAGTGCAACAACACATCAGTCAATCAATTCAGCCACAGTGTAATCATTGACCGGACAGATGTGAGTGACAAAGAAAATCTGTATACTTAATTTAATAAGGGTTTTCACTGTAGTATCCCTTTTTCTGCCTTCCTACTAGTGATGGGTCGGTACTTGACGTCAAGTCGGTTCAACAGGTTCTTGGGTTATATTTTTATTTACTCATTTACAAAATTCAAATTGTCAACCATGATGATTATTTTTCACTTAAGGCTATTTAAAAAGGGCATATTTATCATGAAATATTATCAATAATAGGCTATAGGATGGTTATTTTAGTGTTAGTTGGTTAAGTTGCCGTCACTATTGTCAGCTGACAGAGTGGTGCAAACATTGACTGCAATTGCTCCACCATCTTCAAGCAGAAGACAGAAAGCAAGCTTAATAAAGACTGGATCAATTAAATAGTTTATTTGGACTCAACAAAATTATTACTTTACCTACCATCCTTTCCTTATCTGATTTTGATTAATGGGTAACATTAATAATATAGTTACAAGTTACAGGATTATTTAATTTAATTCATACAGTTCTTTTTTTACTTTGTTTTGCACAAACTATCGAAATACAGAAGCAACATAAATATCGCTGAATGTACAACTCAAACCTCAAATTCATTCCGGTTCACTCTAACTGTTTGACTCAGTCCAGTCCAGTCAGTAGCTTAATTCATATATTAAAGCCCAATGGTTAAATGTTTACGATTTTTACGAATCATATTGCATTCGATCTGTAACCACTGTGACAAATGGCAACACTGCGCATTGTGCAAGACTACAATTTTAAATTTCAAGTTCAATGGTAAAATTTAATTATTGATGGATGAAACTACCTGGCTACATAGTACATGACAAACAGCATAGCCTTCATTCAGCAAACCAAAATGGGCTTTTATTTGTTATTGTTCGTTTGCTTTGTTTGGTTGTTTGTACTTAATTTTGTTTTTGTTGAGGGAGGTGAGAAAGTTTAAATGTATAGTTTGGCCGCTTAGAAAACGACCTGCGCGCTAATGCTAAACCAATGCTGGAGGAGGTCGCTTTCTAAGCGGCCGAACTATAGTTTAGCGTCATCTGTAAAGTTTCTGTGAAATTGAAGAATGGGCCTTTGTTTTAGTCAGATTTCTCAAATAATTTATACAGGGTGATTGATATAAGTGTGCCAGCCGTTTTATTCGAAAACCATAAGAGATATCAAAAAAAGTTAAATGGTAAGTGCCTTGGACTTTTTATTTTAAAAAATGTAGTAAAGTCGAAAACATTATGTTAGCCGCCATTTTTCCAATATGGCCGCCAACTTTGATTTTTCTTATGGAACACCCTGTATTTTATTATGTATTCTGGTAGAAAATGTAATTTTAAGACGATTTTATTCTTGTAATTTTTTTCATAAACCTAACCGTTTCAAAGATAATAATGGTTTAAGTTGTGAAATTTTGAATGGTTTTCGAATAAAACAGCTGGCATGCTTGCTTAGGCCTTCATCGAAACTCTTTCTCATGCAAAATCTCATGAAATTTCAAAACTTTAACCATTATTATCTTTGAAACGGTTAGGTTTATGAAAAAAATTACAAGAATAAAATCGTCTTAAAATTACATTTCCTACCAGAATACATCATAAAATACAGGGTTTTCCATAAGAAAAATCAAAGTTGGCGGCCATATTGGAAAAATGGTGGCTAAAATAATTTTTTTGACTTGACTACAATTTATTTAATAAAAAATCCAAGGCACTTACCATTTAACTTTTTCTGATATCTTTTATAGTTTTCGAATAAAACGGCTGGCACACTTATATCAATCACCCTGTATGTTGATGTGAATAATTAAACTTGTTTTTTTTAAATAATAAGTGAAAGTGGATTAGTTTTTCAAAGGAATGTAGGGCTACCACAAGTTGTTGTTTTTATAGACTAATTTGTGATAAATTCTTAATAATTGCTTCCCAAGTTTGGAAGTATTTTAAAATTGATGAAGCAAACAACAGATTTGCGATATGCATCGTATAGGCTTATCTTTAGAGGTGGGGGGTCTAAAAGGGCTTTTAACCTAATGAAATGTCTAAAAACCCACAATACCGGTACAGGCACTAGGCCTACAAAAAAACCAAAACAGTCACCAAACTAAGCCTTTGTTAAAACTTTTTTTTCAACAAGCTTGCACCTTAAACTAAGTTATAACCTCAAATGAATATGTAGGCCTATTTTCTAAAAAGTTTAGTTCAAAACGTCCTTTCCATAAATGCATAAATACTTTTGTTCTAAATTTTCCTTAATACTGGAGCCTAAAATTAACTTAATGCAGGCTATAACTTAGGTACAAAATGACTCAAAACAAAAAGGCATATATATTTAACACTTCTGAAATGGTATATATTTAATATATAGGCCTATATATATATAATTGTTCTGATTTGAATGAGTTTGGTTCTTAAAGTGTTTTTTGTACAAACACAGTAGGCCTAAGATTTATTTTCTTAATCCCTTAATATAACGAACCTACACTAATGAAAAATAAAACAATTAAGTAGCCTAATTTTATTGAGGTACCGATGGTACCGGAACCGAGAATAAATTTTGGTTAGGTACCAAACATTGGTACCTACCAAACATTTGGTCATACCAGTACGAACATTGAAAAAGTGGTACCGACCCATCACTACTTCCTACCTAACGAAATCTTATGATTGAGATGTTAAAAGCTCATGATCCAGTGCAGGGACTTTGGTAATTAAAAAGGTTGGTTCCATGAGGGCTTCCCAACCTCAGCCTTTGATACATTTATAGATGGCAGTTTCAAAGATCCAGTGCTGCTGAATAGTTTTTCTTTATAGCAGCTTTACATATGGCTTGTAATTCAACAGCTGGCTAAGTGCAGTTTAATTTTTAACCACTGTCAGATTATAAACAAAAGAGAAAACGGTTTCTGAAAATGGATTTTAAATAGGCCACATTAATTGATATTTGTAACATGATTGAGTAGGTAAATCAATCTTTTATATTGCAGTTTTATTCACGATAACTTTGAGACACATTTTCTTAAATGTTGGATTTTCCAACTCACCTGTTGTTGCACTGAACAGGAGGTTAGCTGTAGCATGATCTGGAGACCAACTCTTTGGCCGACATCCAATCTTGGCCAGGTCGCTGCCAGTCACGTTGAGTCTCTCCTTGGTACCTCTCCTCTCTCCCCCCTCTCCTTCACTGATAGAACGTGCAGTAACACTAGGTATTGTAACACAGTCTCTTGTTTTTAGATTGGTTTCTGACTTGGACCTCTGAAGCTTTTCTTTGTTCTTCATCGCATCAAGAATTCCCTGCAGAAACATTGGTGATTGTAAAAAGATAATGGTATTTATAATTATAATTACCTAATACTGCCTTAAGTGCTTTTTTGGTCAGTAGATGTCTAGATAAATATTTGGATACAAAGTTGAATTATAAAATTACAAATGAACAGAACAGGAAAGAGAGAACATTAAGCCTCTAGACACTTTTTTTTAATTTTAGCTACAAAACATCTAGACTATTACAAATTAGTGAAATGTTTGTTGTATGCTACTACATCTTTTCATGAAACAAAACAATTATTTTACTCATTTTTTGTTTGTTTGTATTTTAATCATGTAAAAAAATGACTTTGAAGTAAATTTTTGAAAGGAGCACAAGATACATTTTTTACCCCACTAATTTTACCCCTGAAAAAAAAATGGTAATGACACACATTCAGAGTCTGCTTGTCTAAAAATTTAATATTTCTAAATTAATGTCCACCTTAACCCTTTATTTAAGTGGATATTGGCATTGTATGTTCCGAACACCCAATTTTCTAGCCTATAATGTTGGTTGCACTGCACCATGTTAGACTCTAGATTTTCAAGATCTCATTGCTGTGTTTGTCTAAATAATAATAGTCAGTTTTCTTATCAAAATGGAGAATAAATTGAATGCTCTAGATTTTTTACTGTTCTTTTAAAATATTAAAATAACAATGTAAAACATTAAGAACGTTATTATAGTTAAAATCATGTTATGTTTGACTTCAAGACATAAATTGTTAGTATATTGAAAGTATAACAAACCTGATAAGTCACAAGCTGCCCAATGAAGTTGGTGTTTGGTTTAATACAGTTGCGTTTCTGTTGGACGTAGTCCAATGCCTTTTTGAGATCCCAGTTGTAAGCCTTCATTGCATATGCTATTACCACGGACGCTGATCGACTGACACCCATCTTACAATGAACCAAAACCTTGGAACCTTGGGTTCTGTAATTATAAACAAAATCTTTCTTTAGAATTCTGCTTAGTATCAAGCTAAAAATGGTAGTTATTAGTTATTATTAAAAAAATTAAGTTATTAGCCAGTCACGCTACATTAAACAATGCTTAAACACAAACCATTCGTCTAAAGTAGGGCTACAAAAGTAGAAACACATAAAAATACCCCCGACGCAACAAACCTGCAGACTAAGCAAATTTCCATTTGCCTAATTGGATTTACACTAAAATGTCTTCTTAAAATTATCACATTTATTCCCTATTTAAAAAGCATTAGTTTAACGGGTACTCTAGGTTTGCAGCAAAAGGGAGGTTAAAAAAATGTTTTTTGTAAAATGTTAATAGTTTAGAATGAAATAAATTCATTTTCTAAATTTGATCAAAATATGCTCATAAACAAGCAAACTACGACAGTTTACGTATTCTCTGATTATAACTAGGGGTCTGCGGTACAGAAAATTTAAGGTCGGTACGGTTCGGTACGGTACAATATTTTGTACCTCGGTTCTCGGTACAAAATCGGTACGGTACGCGGCTACCCGTATTTTTGCGGTTTTCTGCTCAGAACTGTATTTAATCCATTATTTTTAACTTTAATACATTGACATTACTATGAAAATTGATAGTATCCTACTTTCCTGGTATTCTAACAACAATTACTGTACCACACATTATTAAAACTAAACCTTTTACTACTACGAGGATTGTGTCAAGAAAAATCACAGTTAAGATAAAGGCTTTACCTATTTTACTCTGAGATACTTTGAATAGCCATGATAAAAGTGGTTTTAAAAATAGGGTAAGAGTTTTTAGAAATATACATGTTTGAAAATTTATTGGCAAGATAATTTCACACAACTGGTAAATTATTTCCAACCAACACAATGTCTAGTTGTTTTTTAGATTTTTAAAAACATATAAAAGCATTCAGTACAAAGACAGTGCAGTTGCCAGCTGTTCACAGCAGACAACAATGAACAACTGGAGAATATGATGAAGTAATGGCAATGAGCATCTTTTTTTATCAGCTCCAAAACTAGTTATAAGATTAGAGGTGTGCGGATATCCGAAAAATCGGGTCGGATTCGATTCGGTTCGGATATCCGTATCCGAACCGGGCCCAAAATTCAATATCCGACTTTTTCGGATAGACAATATATTTTGACGTTTTGGACAGAAAACTAAATCTCCATAGCCACCATTAGGTTCCCAGGACAAAATTACAGCAATACGTTTCCAACGACCTAACAGCAAACGGCAAAGAAGCCGTATGATGCAATACTGATAACTAGTTTAGTCGTTATCGGCTGTTTTGCTTTACGATTAGATTCGTCTGGAACGAACGGACATAAAGCAGAAAAGAACTACCATGGTCAAATGAAAGTCAACTCGTGCTTGTCTCGCTCCTGATACTAGGGGCGCTGCGTAATAGTTTTTTTTACAGTACTGTTTCAAAGTAGAAAAATCTAGCCTACTACTGTGATGTTACGTAAACAATAGATTTAATGTTTCCCGAAAAAAGTCAGAATAGAAACAATAGAAAGGCAACACAATAGAAGGGTGGGAGGGGTTGGGCAATGACCTCGAAAGGAGCGCGAGTAGTGAGTCAAGTAGGACCGGAGGGGGAAGGGGTGGGTAAGACCTTGAAGCTATATATAGACTTGCACTACTTCCCTAAACGTAAAGGACTGGCCGGCGAGTGGTATTCCAATCACAGGACAAGATACGTTGTTTTTTGGGTATTCATTGCCCGGTTTGACTTTGGATTGTCTTACTGTGTAGAAACTTTGAATAATAAAATATAAAGTTAGAACTAACCACGATTATTTAGCATTGATTGTGTACATATTCAATGATTAAACTATAGGGACCATGGATATATACAAACTTTTGTCAACATCAAAATACAATATTGCACAATCGTGATATTTTAGGTCATTGACCTTTATTATGCATCCGGTATTGCTGTTTCAGAAGAGAAGCACGTTGATAAATTATAAATTGATATTCCCGCAGTTAAAAAGAATTATTTTATAAACCTATAAAACAAAATCATAAAATCTTACATAAAGATAACAATAACGGAAATCGTAAAAAGGGTATAAAGATAACAACGTCATTCTTTCTCTTTGTTCTTCTATTCTTGGGTTTCCCTTCATACGCATTCAACAAGTTGCCATGGTTACTAATCACCCATGTCGTTATCAGCTTTTGTGACATAGCGCACAGCAGGGGGGTAAAACTTGACGAAAATCGGTTAATTTTTACCTATTATTTAATTACCAATGAATGTACTACTTTATTGGTATTTGGTACTGTATTAATAATCGGTCAAAATGGCCGATTTTTGTCAAATTTTACACCAAATTTATTGAAATTTCAAGGTGAATATTAATAAAACAATTATTACCAAATATTTGTATTCATTTAAAAGATTGATTTGTGGTATTGGGTTCCCCACTGAGTGCAGCCGAGCGGCACTAATGAGGGTCGGACCTTCTTGGGGGTGAACAATAGACGGCTTATCAGACCCTCCCCTCCCCCGTGGTCTGGAGAAAGCTTGTAAACAAACTATTGCACAAGCGCAATGAATACACAAACTATTGTATTCATTGACAAGCGTGACTTGACATTGGACTGACAGTAGGCATACGTAGGCTTGAATAACGAAAAAAAAATTATGCAAACAACAACAACTATCAACAACAACTATGCTTGTGGTTTCGTTAATAGAAAGATAAAATATCTATAACAAATATTTTAACTTATAAAATAAGATTGTAGATTAGTTACAAGTTTAATATGTAGCCATAAACAGTTTTATGGCAGTAGGCAATGGCCAGCGGAAAATTTAATATTCACGAAAATACTGACTGAGTTCGAGATAACATTTAACAGTCATCATAAAACTATTATTTTTATGATAAAATTGAATTGGGGGAAGTCGTAAAGAAATAAAAGTGACAAAACTCAACAGTTCTTGGAAGTACTTGAATACAACAATTATTGTCGTGATAAAATGTTAATGGATTTGGGACTGCTAATGGGGTTTTTATTGCATCATCACCCTAGTAATAAATTATGAAGATCGTAAACATACATCTGATAAGACTTTTATGTGCTCGGAACCAGCTGTCGTTGACTACGATAGTAACTGAAAGTAATTTATTATTATAATAGGCTGTACCGAACCGAATTTGTACCGTGTAAAATGCTGTACTGAACCGATGACGGTAATTAAGCTTGTACCGTACCGTACCGACTTTTTCGGTGCACCGCAGACCCCTAATTATAACTGAAGCAGCTAAGACAGAAATATGGAAATCCTACAATCTCCCACGCTTGAAGGTTTGCCTAGAAATAATCTTAAGTCGAACGGAATGTTTCTTATTTGTGTTGGATCTCCGGGAACTGGTCTACCTTGATGAATCTGGGTTTTAGAGGTCGAGTGTCTTGAAGATAACGGGGATTGATGGTGGTCGACTATTGTGGTGTTTCGATGAGAGATTGAGTCAGCTACATTATGTGGACTTGAATAAATAGGATTTTCAGTCATAACTATTTCACCTCTAGGTACAGTTTATGATGGAGTACTACGGTAATAACTTATTCCTTATATGGGAAATTCGCTAAAACGGTAATAAAAACTTTCATTTTGCTGAAGTTTTTTACAAGTAAATAAATACACAAGATGCATTTTTTCCTCCTCTGTAAGTATTTTTCACAAAATGTAATGCATAAAGTTAGAGAAAAATGTTCCTCTTATGTACTTACTGAGCTTTATTAATGTACTTGTATGTGTCGTCCCAATGCTTCAGCAAGTTAGTCTTTTCATCATCATAAACACGGACGTTCATGTAGTCGAACATCCCAGGAAAAAAGTTGTCAATCTCCCTCGTCACATTTAAAATGTGGCAAACCCTGTAGGCAAAACAGAAACCTTTATAAAAGCGGTTACAATTATACGACATAAATAAACAAGATTGTTGTATTAACATTCACTCATTAACTTTCTTGGTTGAGAAGAGGGAGGTCGGAGGTCACGACTCTCTAGATTGCCAGCCAAGACTGACACAAGGCAGGCAGCAACTGTCAGTGAGATCTCTTCTCCACAGCAAGATAAGGTTACACTAAAGTTGTGCCCAAACTCCTTGGATGTTATGAAGGCTGCGGGAGGATTGTAATGCTGGAGCATCACTTCCACCACATCGCCCACAGTCTGTACTGGCTGGATACACCATCATGGACAGCCCTAGTGGTATAATTTAAAGGCTTAGCCCAAAGTAACATTCTGAACAGATCCAGGCTAATGTGGTTTGCTTAGCAACCAGACCAAATACCTTTTCAATATGCTTTGTCAACCACATACCCATTCTTGTTGAGCTCCTCCAGGTTAGAAGCATTCCACTCAGATCCAAGGTAAACGTGAGGGAAGATCTCAGTGGCAGCATCCATCTGTCCCAATATCACCAGCATCTCCTCGTCTATGAAGCTCTTGTACTCTCCCAAATCCATGTCTAGCATATCCTCTAGTCTAGTGCGAACCTGCAGTCAGTAACTAGCTTTATGTATCAACTGTTCTGATTTCCATTTGTAAAAAGTAAGTGGCTTAACAGAAAGACTAAATTTACTATTTGTTGGGTTATATAACGTTAGTTTTTGTCCCTATTTTCAAAGCCATCTCTATATAAATGCGAAATTCCGATCAACGCAAAGGCCAAACCATAGCACCTAGAAGCATGCGATTTTGCATTCATATTCCTCTCATAGCGTAGGCTGACAATAAGATGGTAGGCTGACAATAAGATGGTAGGCTGACAATAAGATGCGATTTTACAAAATTACCAATTGTCTCCGCCCCACAGAAGGTCATAGTTAGCATGGAGTTCGTATAAGAAGAATATTTAATTTGTTTTGGGTTTTTGTTTTCATTATCGCAGATGAGAAATATTTGAAATGACAGTTAGTAGTTGTCTGCAATTTATTTAATTTATTTTGGAATTCAAGGTTTGAAGAAAGATTTTAAATTTGACAATCCGTTAAGTAGAGGAGATTCTTTATATTGGTTGTCTTATTTTAGCCGGGATCGTTGAAATTGAGTTAAATCAAGGTTGTTGATATGGTTTGTTTGTTATTTAGAGGTAAAATGTACAATGTGTCTTATGGAGAGAGTTCTAGGCAATTAAAGAAATCGATATATCAAGGAGTTTGTTATATTGAGGTTCGTTATATCAAACTGTATTACCGCAATCCCGAGAGATGATGGCGATGTCTTTGTGACCACTGACCATGGAGGGATATCCAATATATTGCCGAAATCACGGGATGAGATCACATAAGGTGATGATGATTGTCGCGGCCAAAGATTATTGTCATGATGACTTAGCACAGGCAGACACTGATTTCTCGGAGATGGCCGGTAGAAAGAAAAATAGTTCTATATTATTTTCTTTATTACCGTAGTGGCTACCCGATCTTGCGTCCATCTGTTTATAATGTCAAATTGTGTTTGCATGCCAGCTTTCATTTAAGAGGTGTTGGAGGAAGAGACCGTCCCAAATTTACTATAATGAGCATGGCCATTTCATCATTTCTTAATTATCTAACTATCTATGGTGACTGTTTCATCGTCCTCATAATTTGTGTATCGGAAAAAGAATGTTCTTATAAAATTTTCTGTATTAACAATTACCTGGTGTTTATATATGTATTAGTATATTTACTTTTGAAAATCCTTGAAATTTTAGTTTTGGTGTGGGAAGGTGGCGGGTGTCTATTTTTTTTTAATAAAGGATAAAGGGCAGTATGAACTAGGGGAGGGGTCTTTGCACCCCTGACCTTGGGAGGGATTGGCACCTCTGCTTGCAACAATCTTTTTGAATAGATTTTCATTGTTGTTTAAGGCTTCAAATTCTCTTTCAAATTAATTGGCCCCCAAGGTCCTGCTATCTTACACCGTTTGACTTTTCTGTTTGGAGATCATAAAAAAATTAGATTTTCTGCAATTCAGAGCAGCCTTCGCCTAAAAATTTGAAGCCTTAAACAACAATAAACATCTATACAAAAAGATTGTTACAAGTGTAAAAAAAGCTTTAAAAAAATGCATTGCAGTTAGTGTAAAGCATTTTGAACAATTCTTTTAAGTTTACAACCTATGTGTAGTGTAAATTCAGTTTCAATAAAATTAAAATATAATAAAATTGATTTATTATAATTTGGTCCAAAATCAACTTATTGATTTGTGTATTATTGAAAGGTTTGGACTTGTATCAAGCAATTCAGGGCATTTTAAAACACAAGAGTTACTATACATAAAAATCTGACACTGCAAAAAATGCAGCTTTAAATTTTGTATTTAGAGCACAAAGTATGATCATTTAAGTTATGACTAACTAGTGCAAGACTGACCTGCTTACTGGTAACTTCGTCGAGATCCACTGACATCATGATCTCTTTGAGAGAAGATTTTACTAGAGTCCGCGTGGCTTCTCTCTCGCAGGGCCTAAGAGCAAAGTAAATGGTAAATGACAAAATTAAAACTATGTTCTTTATCACTATTTTTTAAAGTAGTTGTGAGTAGTTATTCTTTTACAACTAGATTCAAGATCTTAATCTAGTTGTAAAAGAACCTGTTTAACTAAAGGAGTAAGCCCCTTCAAGCTAAACAATGACAAACACTTGATACAAGTACTGATATGCCTGTATTCTTACTTAGTCCTTATATAAATACAGGTTTAATTTACTTTATAATGATATTTTTACGTTTTTGAGGTGTACTATGCTTATGGAAATATCTACCACATATCATAACACGGAGAGATTATAAACTAAATGTATTAAACTTAATATTAAGCAAAATATAGTGGAACCTCGATATAACGAGCCTCAATGTAACAAATTACTCTATATAACGTAGTATTTTGCAATCCCCGTGAAAACACCATAACACTCAATGGAAAATGTGCCCCTATATAGCAAATAAAATAGGTACAAAACCCTCTATACAACGAATAATTAGTCATTTTGTTGGTACTTTACTTACCCCTGTATAACAAATACCCAAAGTACGGAACCCCTACATAACGAACATAACCTCTATATAACAGATACCCACGCTTTCTACCCCTGTATTACGTATTTTATCCAAATTTAGTCGACCATTCGAACACGTCTGAATAGGAAAGTTTTCAGTTCCTCATTCTCACCGTCAATATCCACTCCGCAGTCAGTGCTTCACATCCTATCGATCTATCACAGTTTTCATATCGTGATACGTATTGTGCACAGTTTTTACTTTGATTTTTGTCACGCAATTTTTACTTTGATTTTTGTGTTATAGTTTACAGGCGTGAGTCACGTATAGGTGTTTTTTTTTTTTTGTATTCGCGCACCAAATTTAAACGCAAAGCCTTACAAGCTGTAGAAGAAAATCCACATAAGAAGAAAGTGGATGTTGCGAAGGACTTTAACGTAACACCAACTACTTTTGCAACAATCATTAAAAATAAAAATAAGTATGAAGCTGGGAGTGGACTGTCTTGTAAAAAGGCTAAACAAGCCAAATTAGAGGACAGAGAAACTGCTGTTATGTTATGGCTTAGACAATGCCGTGACAAAAACGTACCCGTTTCAGGACCTGTACTTCAAGAAAAAGCTCAACAATTTGAGCTTCAACAAGAGAAACAAAGTAAGTTTCAAAAAGGTGTGAGGCGAAAGCGGCAATGTTGATGATGCAATATGCAAAAATTGGAAACAAAAACTAACATAGTTGACAGAAGGATATCATCAAATTGATATTTATAATGTAGATGAAACAGGCTTGGTTTTTAAATGCCTACCAGACAAAACTTTTGACATTTAAAGGCGATCCCTGCAGTGAAGGGAAAAACAGCAAGGAGCGGCTTACAATCATGCTTGGAGCTAATGCATCAGGCACCAATAAGCTAAAGCCCTTAACTATTGGGAAATCAAAAAAGCCACGCCATTGACATCTCTGCCTACAAAGTACGTCACCAATAAAAAAGTGTGGATGATGACTCGGGAGATATTCATTAACTGGCTTAAAGAAACAACCAAGCAAATGAAACAGAAATACCCCCGCCACAGCAAACCTGCCGACTAAGCGAATTTCCATTTGTCTGAATATATTTTAATAACATTAGGTTTAACGAGTACCTAGGTTTGCTGCTACAAGGAAACTAATAAAGTGTGTTTTTGAGTAAAATATTGATAGCTTAGTACAAAATAAATAAATTTGCCAAGTTTGATCAAAATATATCCATAAACAAGCAAACTACAACATTTGAAAATATTCTCCATAAGAATAACATGGGAATTTTATATTTACAATTTTTTTAAATTTTCTCCGTTACTAATAATCGAACAAAAATTCTTTTATATACTAAATCATTTGTTTTTTTAAGCTCTTTAAAAAGGTCTAAAGAGAAATCGGGAAATTTTGTTTTTTGAGGGTCAAAAGTGAGAAAAACCAATTTTTACCCCATAAAACCCCCCGTAAAGCCCCGTTCCCATGGTCCGATCGTGCTGGTTCGCGAACTCATTCAAGTTTATCCCGCTTTACACCTTTAAACCAAATTTCATCAAAATCGAACAAAAATTACTCAAGTTATCGCGTTCACGGACGTATATATATACATATATACAAATTTGAACGAATGGTATTTTTGGCCTCTGGGGTCATCAAAATGAAAAAGTAAATTGGTCCCGGGTCTAGGTCTTACCGTGCCACCTACGGTAATAGCTACTTCCCTATAGGGAATTTCGCTAAAAGAAGCTCTTATTGTTTATCGACAATTGCTCAGCTCACCAGGACATCCCATATTTTACTAATATTTAAGTTGAGTTCATTAATGTACTACATCATATAACTGTTTTCTAAATTGTGACGTACCCATGTTTAGCGAATTTCTAAACGATTCCTAGAGTGTGGAGATGTTTCCTGAAATGGCCGTGTCCAGTGATAAGAACAAGTACCTGCTTGACCTGCCCTCTCCCCAGCTTTAGCAGCCAGTGAGTGAAGAGAGTGCTAGGTTCTGAGAGCAGTTTTTTGCCAAGTGATTGTCCAGGATAATTACGCCAACGCTCAAGATGTTTTCCCCTGGACCAATTGTTGATTACATGTTTAGCGGCCGCTTTGCTGATGCCACAAAATGGCTCTGGTCCAAAGAGTGGCATGCTCGCACCTTTTTTTGCCAGCTTGTCTGCACCCTTGTTGCCTCCAATGCCTACATGGCCTGGGACCCAGCCGAGAGTTACAGAGTTCTGTGATGCAAGTCTGCAGAGGGTGTTGAAACACTCCCAGACCAGTTTTGAGGTGACTTCATTTGAGTCAAGAGCTTTGAGAGCAGCCTGACAATCAGATAAAATCACTATCCTTTTGTCTTGGTACCGTCTGGCTAGTCCTAGGTTGGCACAAGCCAAGATGCCATAGATTTCTGCCTGGAAGATGGTACAGTATTGTCCCAGACTTCCTGATAGTTCTGTTCTGGGTGATCGACAGTAAACCCCAAAACCAGTCGATTAGGGAGCCGTCTGTGTACCAGACGAAGCTCTCCATATCTTGGAGATGCCCTTCCTGATGTTTCCACTCATCTCTGGAGCGGAATTTAACATTAAAGGGTTTGGTGAAAACTGCTTCCTTGCTTAGGAAGTCCGAGGTCATGTCAAGCACAGGACACTCAGCCAAAGTCTTAGCAATGGCGCAGTGGCCTGCCCCTGACAGGCCTTCCCTCCACAGATTTGCAACCCTCAGACGGTAAGCTGCCTTGAGGGCCTCAGATCTGATGAAGATGTTCAGTGGTAGCAGCCCAAGAGCGACTTCTAGAGTAGCTGATTGACTGCTCCTGAAGGCTCCAGTGGCCTGTAGCGTGCCGAGCCTTTGCATGCTTTCTAGCTTGGCTATGACAGTTACCTGATTCACCTTTGTCCACCAGACTAGTGAACCATAGGTAATCTGAGGCCTGACCACAACCTCGTATAGCCAGAGTGCTATGTGGGGTTTAATTCCCCAGGTGGTTCCTGCAAACCTCCTGGACGTCATGAGCGCCCATTTGGCCTTATGCAGCGCGTTATTCAGGTGGTTGTTCCACGTCAGCTTGGAGTCAAGTGTCAGTCCTAAATACTTGACCGCACTCGACACTCCCAGCTGAGTAGTGCCAATTCTCAGCCTGGAAAGAGAATCCAGGTTCTTTTTCCTGGTGAAAGGAACTACGACTGTCTTAGAAGGATTAATGTTGAGTCCCTCTCTGAGACACCATTGTTTAACACATTGTAGGTTGCTGTTCATGACGTCAGCTACAATGTTTGTGAATTTTCCTGGTACCATGAGGACTACGTCATCTGAATAGCCCTGGACAAAGATGCCCTTGCTGGTGAGTTCAGTTAAAAGACCGTCCACCACAAGGTTCCACAGTAAGGGTGAAAGTACACCACCCTGTGGACATCCTTTTGTGGGTGCGATCAAAATTTTTTCACCAAGAAAGCCGGCTACGGTGCGTCTTGAGTTAAGCATAGACTCTGTCCATCTACACAGAGACTGCTCAAGTCCACGCTCACAAACTCCCCGCACCATTGCTATGTATGTTACATTGCCGAAAGCTCCTTCAATGTCCATGAAGGTGCATAGGGCTATTTCCTTAGTAGCCAGGCTGTCCTCAATTCTGCTGACCAACTCGTGCAGAGCGGTTTTGCAGGACTTGCCTGGCTGGTAGGCGTGTTGATTTCGATGAAGAGGTGTGTTGAGAAGTACACCCTTTCTTATGTGCCTCTCCACCAGCCTTTCCAAGGTCTTGAGGAGAAATGAGGAAAGACTGATAGGACGGAATGATTTAGCATCAGAGTAGTCTGCTTTTCCTCTTTTGGGAATGAAGACCACCCTGCTGAGACGCCAGGCCTGAGGGATGTACCCGTAGGCCAAGCTCGCTCAGAAGAGTTCACATAGGAGGAGCTTGAGGGCATCCAGTCCTTGCTGAAGCATGGCTGGATAGATGCCATCTCCCCCGGGAGACTTAAATGGACCAAACTTATTGATTGCCCATTTAACTTTAGAGTGAGTGAGAACCCTTCTGGCTGTATTCCAGCTTTCACGATCAGTTCTCGGCCAAGAACTTGTATTCGTGCAACCGGACACTCCTGTGTCGTCACTCTCAAAAATGCAACCAGGGAAGTGAGTCTCAAGGAGAAGTTTGAGACTTCCTCCAACCCCAGTGGTATATTGCCCTCCTGGTACCTTAAGAGATCCCCAGTGTCCAATAGGTTTGGACGCTAGAACCCGCTGAAGGCGGGCCACAGCACTGAGACTGTTTACCTCCTGTGTAAACTGTCTCCATGAATTTTGTTTAGCTTTTTTTATTGCAAGGCTGTATTCTGTAAGTGCCCTTCTATATGGCTCCCACATACGGCTCCGTTTGCATTGGTTGAATAGTTTCCTGACACCCGCCCTCATGCGAGTCAAATCCGCAGTCCACCATCTAGTGCTGGTACTGCGTTTTCTCTGTCCCAGAGGACAGTTGTCATGGAAGCAAGTGATCATTGCGTCCTGTAAGTCGGTCGCAATTTGGTCAATGTCTGCAAAGCAGCTGACCCTCCTACTCACGGATCCCAACTGGAACTGTAGGTCTATATATAGATAGATTTATATATACTGTATATATATATCTATATCTATAAAAGAGGAACTATGTATGTATAAATATATGTGTATATACGTTATGGACTCCGAAAACGCTCGACAGATTGTAATGAAACTTTCAGGCATTATTAAGCATCTTTCAAGGATGGTTCGAGTGAAGTTTGGTGCAGATCCGTCAAAAGGGCTCTGCCCCAGAGGGTTTTAAGTGGGCCAATGTCAGACTTTTTGATTTAGAATGTTTACAAATAAATATAATTTAAAAGCAGATGTTTACTTTCACCAACTGTTTTGTTTTTTGAATAACTACAACATTCTGTATTAGCATTAGTCATGATTTGAAATAGTACCACAGTGTTTCTACAGATTGCAGCACAGAAAACTATTTTACTTTTGAATAAGTCCAAATGTATTAAACCCCAATCGCAGCACACCTGTGCACTTAACAACGTTTAAATTCTCCATTGTTAAATATTAATACATAAAAACCTTTATAAAAGTACTGTATTATAAACAATAAAAGGGATGACTTTTTAAATGTATGACAACAGCTAATTTGCAACCAAAAGGTGAGTGAGCGTAGCGAACGAACTTCAACCAGGACGTGATTGAGCCATGCGAATACTTATGAAGTTAAGCGGGGCAAAGCCCGCGGGTACAGCTAGTATAAATATACGTCCGTGAACGCGATAAATAAAGTAATTTTTGTCTGATTTTGATGAAATTTGGTTTGAAGGTGTAAGGCGGTATAAACTTAAATGAGTTCGCGAACCAGCATGATCGAACCATGGGAACGGGGGATTTACGTTTTATGGGGTACCCTCAAAACACAAAATTTCCCAATTTCTCTCTAGACCTTTTTAAAGAGCTTAAAAAAAACAAATAATTTAGTATATCAAAGTGTAGTTTTGTACAGTTATCAGTATCGGAGAAAAAATTATAAATTTAAAATCCCCATGTTATTCTTATGGAGTAATGTAAAATGTTGTAGTTTGCTTGTTTATGGATATATTTTGATCAAACTTGGATAATTTATTTATTTTATACTAAGTTATTAATATTTTACTAAAAAATACCCTTTATTAGTTTCCTTGTAGCAGTAAACCTAGGTACTCGTTAAACCTAATTTTATTTAAATAGGTTTAATTAAAAATCAGTTGAGACAAATGGAAATTTGCATAGTCGGCAGGTTTGCTGCGGCGGGGGTATTTTTAATTTATTACACAGTTTATAACTACTGTACACAACATTTTTGTATTAGTTCCTAACCTAGCTGCAGTACAATACAGTAGAGTCCCGCAAACTCGGCGTAATGTGGACTGGAAGGGTGCCGAGTTTGTGAAATGCCGGGTTATCGAGAACTAGGGTTCAAAATAAAAACAATACAATTTTTAATCCTTTTACCTGCCTTCTTTTTATACATTTATACTACAAGTCAGTGTTAAGTCATCAGATATAGTACAACAAATCCTTGGTACGAGTTGCGAGTGATTTAACTTGAGCTGGCTTGAGTCCATATTGAACTCGGACTCAAATAATCACTAATTTTCTGAGCCAGGTGATGGCCGAGTTATCCAGACTCCTGGGTTATCGAGTGCCGAGTTTGCGGGACTCTACTGTATTACTGCATTGCTCTCTTCCGTAAATAAGATCTCGTATTGCATTCAAAAGTTTAGTAGTAAAACATATTCCTGTGTGTATTTATAGGCCTAGAACTAGATTTAAGTTATGAAATTAAATGAAAAATGTCTTTATTTAAAAGGCGAAGTTAGGACTTGGTTAGTCCTCTCTACCACTTAAACTCTAAAGTTAGTTCTTTAAATAGAGGTGAGAATCATCACAACATCACATGGCATGGGGGCTAAGTAACTAACCCCTATATTATCAATTTTGGCCGCATATAACCTCAATTTAACGAACCTCGCTTTTCAGAATACTGCTATATAAATGAATATATTTCTTGTAACCTTGAAATTAGTTAAGCCGAGGTTCCACTGTAATATTAATCTCTTATCATATTTACATGAAATTGGAAGTTATAAAATTTAAGTACTCAATGTGCTGGGAGGCTTTTTTCCTTCCCAGCTATATTGTTGTATAAATGTACTAACTTGCTGTGTAGACAGTCTGGCGAAGGTGGTCTACGTGACTCGAGACTGTCCATCGCGTGCCACTCGTTGAGGCACGAGCGGTCACTCTCGATCCTCTGCTCATAGTAGCTCACCCACTCGTGAGTCACTCCACCCAAGAAGTAGTTGTGCTCGCGTGCCTTGGAGCTCACCTTGTGTAGAGTCTGGAGAGCCGACCTGTGGACACCACAACAAAAACTGTTCAGAATACAGGGAATCCTCAAAACAGCTCATCTTTCGTTTAGCAGCATTCCATATCATTAACTGTCTATGTGTAGCTAGAGGTGCTTGAGCTACACTCTATAGGAAAGGATACGCAGAGAACACAGGCTAGAGGATATTTCTAAATCAGATATAATAACGCACGCTCACACAGGAATTGTTCAGCTGACTGTGTGATTCTTTATTCTACAAACAATATTGTATACAAATTCCTCTATACTCCTAATGGAAATTGTACCTGGAAGGTTGCCAAATCAAGACGTTTATAAGAATACCTGGGTTTGTATAACGCTTACAGTTAAATACCCCGTACCTTGTGCGAAAGGAACTTCCGCACAGTGCTCAGAGCTCAATCACTCCCTTGCTCGTCACAAGGATATTTCCGGCACATCATACTAGAGCTGAAAGTGCACGGTCATCTTCAGCTGTTCCATAAGGATGGCATATGTATATCAAAGGTAGTACAACTTTATGCTTATGCTAAAGTTTTAATTTTACTTAAAGAAAGATTTAGTTTAGCATCAAGCAAACAAATAACACTCCTTAGTTACATTAAGAATCATACTTTTACACGATTCTTTCTAAAGAAATATCATTTATCAGAAAAGGTCAAACTCAAAATAATCACCCCTGAAAAGAGCATAATCCTCAGGAATACTATTTAATATCCAATCTCATGCTTTGATGAGCAATGTGTGATTGTTTTTGGATTTTGTTACATAACTCATAAAGCTATAAGCCTAGGGGAAGAATTATACTGAACTTTAAGGAATAGAGAATTTTGGAGCTAACAAATCTATTGGTGGACCAGTAGGCCTATTAACACGTTCACTGCGGGCGTATCCGATCGGATATGGGCCGAGTTGTGTTCAGGTGCTGCCGTAACCAATCGGATACGCTTGGCAATGCCTTTCGTATATCTTCGTTTTTGCTCTAGCGTTGGTCGGAGGCAGACCTATACCACGTTAGCGTGTAGTGGGTGACTTGCTTTTGGTTGTGTTGTAGGTTTGTAGTAAAATTTCCCCATAAAATCCCCGTCTGGCAAACTTAAAAATAAACTTGGTGTCCCGTCTTTCTCCCTCCTATTGGCAATACAATGGGACCGGCTATATTCCAAGCAGTGCTGCTATCTGTGGGTGTTTAGCAAACTACGTCGACTCTTGTCATAAAATAGGGCATCACCACACGCTATTTGATAATCGTCATACCGAAATATGAAAGCCAATCACCCGGCAATCGGGTTTGTTCGACACTGCGGGCTGCGCCGCACTGGGGCTACACCTGCCATTTGATGGGCTGCAGCGAACGTGTTAAAACCAGTAATTTTAGCATTAATTTAAGCACTGGAGTTTTAGATGGGAAAAATTACAGGAGCAGAAAAGAAAGAGATTTGAACTTATATAACTATATCTGGTACTTTTAATTGGCATAAAACTATAATGCTAAACCTTGAAGAAAGAGAAGAATCTTAATTTCTTCAGAAGTAATAGCGCAAAAAAAAAATCATTGTCACTTAATATACCCCCATGAAGTTACTTTGGGATAGGCCTACGCGATTTAAGAGAGCTATGTTGAAACTTATGATCTTATTTAGGGAAAACTGAGCGAGTGCCATTCTATTTTTGCAGTGGATGTTTATGTTATAAACTGTCAAAACCGTCAGATAGGCCCTAGTGCCGTTTGACTCCCCAGAAGTGATTCAGGGGAGGGGTATTAGTAGGAGGGGCCAGAGGGTGTAGTGGCCACTGGCCAGCATGTAACGGAGTACCAGGTACAGTTTCTTAACTGGGCTACCGGGCTACCGGCTACCCTAATAAAATTGAAAATTGATGTCAATTCGATCAAACCTTCGTTCATTTTTTCATAATCAGCAAGTTTGGTTTGGTTAGGTTATAAAAAAATCATTTATCCCTAAAACTAATTTTTTATCATCCACCCCTGGTCGATCTTTCCACCCCCATACCCGGTGCACAGTGGAACCGGTCACTGATACCTGGCCGGCACTCGCCCACCAAGCCTCAGGCTGTAAAATGACCCTCGTCAAAGTGTTTAGGCAAAAGGCATTTGACCCTGCACTCCTCATTTAGGCCTATTTTTAATTTGTCTTTGGTGAGCTGAAAAATACATTATTAAATTGCAATGACTAGAGAGGATAAAAATGCTGTATGAGTTGCACAAGTAAGATCATATTTATGTTTATATCAATTTCGTTTAGTTGTGTATTTGTACTGTACATTACAAAGTTATAATTTCAGCGATTAAATGTTTATGGCTAGTAATAAAATCTAACTTACTTTCTTAAACTATTATAAGTGTGTCTGTTTATGATATTGTTTTATTAAACCCAATTAACCACAACAGAGCAAGGTACTTAATGAGCATTTTATTAGGTAGAAATTATTCAAGGAACAAGGAGAAATAGTTTTTGTTGTGACACTTTCTCACACTGGCATATGAGTGATGCGAGTTCTGGTCTGCCTGCCTCGGTCACAACACAACAGAGCTGACGTCAATAGGTACCCCCACAACAATGGGAACACACGTCACAATGCTCGGTCTGTGCGGAGTTGGTTGTCAAGGGGAAAGGAATTGTTTTGTTTAAAATGTACTTGTTACCTAGTAATACTGGTCATTTTATTACAGTACAGTATATGTGTAAGAACCCCCTCCCCCTCCAGATAACATAGACGTCTCATATCACCATTTTGTTGCGATGTTATATCAGTATGTGATGTAGTAGAGAACAGTAGTCAGTATCACTTTCAGGTAGACGAGACACGACCTTGGCTGGACTGCACGATGTGGCAACGTAGCTAAGTTGGAACTGGAACTAGACTAGACAGCCCGGAGCCTAGACTATATCAGGTCTATTTTACTACAATAGGCTAATTATTTAATGGACATAGCGCAGTAATAGTAGTCATTCCTTTCTGAAGCGTAGTTGCCAGTGCACAGTGCACCGCACCGCGGCGATGAGCAGCCTTGTGTTTACTTTGTTTGGTTTTGAGTTGTTAATGGAAATAGTCAGGTACTCAATGATGAATGCTGATTACTTAATAAGTCTAGTGAGATAGGACAAATTAATGATCTGTGAAGTGATGGCTTCTGAGGCAGTCTATACGATGACAACGTGGCTCGATTTTTTCACAGACTGGTGAAAAATATATAGAATCCATCCAGAGGTGAGGTTCAGTTATAATGGTGTGTAGTGATACGCATCTTGAGCAATAGCATCAGACGTATAGAATATCTCACAGAGACAGTCGGCCAAACGTAGTCGTACATGTATAATGGGTACATGTATAATATAACATCGTGTATAATGGGAATCTTCAGCAAGCAAGACGTCGCTCTTATTATTATACGTTTGTAAACGCCAGAAAATATCTGTAGATAAATAATGCTACAACATAAAAATAACCCGATTTTGATTATATTACTGATATCATAACTCATAAGTATTAAAGAATAGTAGCCCTGGACGAAGTAACTTTTCAACATACACAAAACACGAAACTGCTGTACCTGTACCGCTACTGACTTTGAACAGAGAGGGGATATAGGAGAAGTGTAACTATGGTCAAAGAAAGCCAGACATATTAAAACGGTTTGTAATAGAGATTTTGTAGGTCGTAATTTTGTACATCGCCCATATAGCCAAGGCCCACTCTGTAGTGAAGTGTACGTAGAAGGCAGAGGTCTGAGAGCCGGTGCTACACGGCCGCGTCCATGTTGGGATATGCCCACACTGCCTCAGCCACGGCATCACACACACAAGCACAAGTGATCATCAAACAGTCCACCGTCCACCACACCACAGCAATCCTAGGGTCACAACTCGCCACCACCGGCAGTGATTAATCATTATACTCTACTTACATTCAGTAGGGAACGAACTTAACCTATTAGGCCTATATTATGATGCGGCTCTCACTAGAAAAGGTCCCAATCGCGTTCAAACTACCATTTTCGAAGGACCATAATCTATTTGACAATTAAACCGTACTACAACTGTTGGTTGACAGCAGTGTGTGTAGTACTATTTGGAAATCGTAATGACTTTGACGATTGGATCGATTGATATACTGTATTTAAATGTTACATCTCGATATCAATTGATTCTTGTCACGGTTCTTCCTTCCAAAATTCTTCAGGTTGGAGTGACAGATTTCAGCAACATTCTTTGTATCTGTTTATCAAATTGCGTTGTTTGCCCTGGACTCGCAGAAGGAACACTTATGAGATGATAAAGAATATCATAACTTTCATTACTGTACTGATAAGACAAAGTACGAGTGGTGATTGATTGTACGCCCCCCCCCCCCCCGTGGTGACAGTTCGCGTGGTCGCACGGTTGCTGACGTAGTTCCTATTCTAACCACTGACTCAGCAACCTTCAGCACGGCGAGTGCCGCCATTTACATATCCACGCAAATTTCACTTGCGTTGTACTACTTCAAGGTGCCTTCACGGAATGACGCCAGTAATATTGTTGAAGGTTTGTAAAACATCTCAATAGGAATATATCGAATCGAAGGTTCAAAATCAATGTATACCTTATTACGACGTATTCCACGGGTTTCGTCTACAATTTACGGGGAGAAAATTGCATAAAAATAAAAATTAGTAATTATTTAAAATTCAGATTATATTTCAGTGCGACTGATTTTGTGTGTCTTGTTTATTTTTTATAGGAATATTGTTTGCAGAAAACCAAGTATGTAAAAAATGCGTTGTAAGACATTTACCGAAAGTTATTAATAGTTAGTTGGTTATATGTCAACAGAAATTTTGTTTGATCTCAAAGTAGGAATATATCGCCGTAAAAGCTACGTTCCTACAAATTTGTGCCAGGCACGTGTGCCCGCCATGTGCCCGGCACAAATCTCCAAATTTGTAGAGATAGAAACAGCCTGGCACAAATTGCGACAAAAGTGCCCGCCGAATACGCGACA